GTTCTAATTTTAATTCATTCGATTACGTATTAATTACTTATACGGCACTTCCGGCGGGAACATAATGTTACATTATCGTCGGATATTACGGTTGATGCGGTGCAGAAATTGTTTTCAATGATCGTTTGAAGTCTCGCTTATTTTCTGGGTGGAACGCGGGCTGCATTGTAAATATGACGGGCACCGTCATCAATCGGTGACTTTGGTAATTAATCACCATGTTAATCGAAAACGGTTTGCTTAATAAGTACACCGGGAAAAACAAGAATGCGATTCATTTAGCAATTATTTTATGCGATGCACGCGTAAATTCAGTGAAACGCGCGCGAAACAAGCACAGCCGTACGACAGCAAGCGCCGATCAACAAAGCGGAAAATTTCGAAACGAGTGGTGACCGTCAGTAATCTGGGTAATTTCATGATTAATTGTGAGTCAACGGAACGAAGAAAACGATTGGTCGTTTCTGAGCGAACGAAGAACCTTTCGAAGAACGAAGATGTTTTTTTTTTACTGACAACTAATGACAATGGGTTTTAACTGGTTCGCGACGAAACGTGTGCGTCCCTCGAGAAGTTGGTTTTTTCAGCTTCCCGACGACCTGGTTTCTCACGGTCAGAAGTGGTCACAAAACGAGTTTCCGCAAGGGTATAAAAACGAGGAGTGGTTATTAAATATACCTCGAAGGGTGACCAGAGGAAACGTGTCCGTTACCTACACGTTAATCGTACCCCGAGTTAAACGCTGCCCACGTGTTCCTCTCGCTGACTGGCTTGTCTTTATACCCGACCTCGATTTACCAAACATTTTTCAGATTATAAACTTAAATGGTCGTTGAAAGGGATAACCAATTAAGTCGGTTTGCTCTGAATGTTGTAAGATTGTTTAGCTAATTACATTTACGGCTTGAAGAAACAGAACAAATAATTGTGATTTCAAAATTTATTCACTTTAGTCTTTTATTTGACTTGCCAGTGAAGACATAAATTCAATAGCTCATTGGATGTAGTGTACTTCGTTATTATGAATATCGAATTTTATGTAATAAACAACATAAAATACAATTATTAGAAATTACGATAAATTCCTACGCTTTGTATAGAATCTAAATACTTTATATACATTTATTTCATTGAAAAGTTTCATCAGATAAATTCATTTATGACAAAACGTTTTGCTTTTAGTGCTTTTATTTGCTTTCATATTTGAAATAATATAATGTTTAGGATATTAGTTAGAGACTAAATAAAAATGAACTCGTAAAGTGACGATTATATTAGATAATAAAAGTTAATTGGTTTCCATATAATTGGTATAGTTTACATTATGAAATGTCTCGAAATGTATTCAACATGAGTGTCCCTCAAAATCGCGAATACACGCAGCTCTTCATAACGGGCTTAGATAAAACGCTCAGTAAAAGTTGTCTGATGTAAAATAAATTACTAACAGGAAGCAATCTCTTTAGAGGTATAAACGAAGGAACGACAGAACAATAAATTCAGGAATGCTACAGGATAAACGAGTGTTTTATTGGCTTTATACACGAGGTTGAGTCGCGTCGATGGACACCAGGAAGTTCACAACTTTAATTTTCCATGCTCGCCAATTTCGGATTTCAATTTTGACCGACCATCTGGATCCGCGTGGCGGCCAGGTGACAAGAATTAGTTACACCGTGTTCCTTTAAGCCGCGGTTTCTACGTTCCTTCGTTCACGACAATTTCCCAACTGACAATTTTCGCTTGGCAATACGCACAAGTGCAATGCAAATATAGTGGAATTCGGTAAAATGTCTGCCGCGGTGGATACGCTTTCCGATGACCAGTATTCGAGTGGATTCGAAGGGGATCGTTCATTCTAGTAATCGTTAGATGAACAGGGGCGCATTCCTTTTTGTTCAATATAACGCCTTCATAGTATATACGTATGCATCGGTGAGTCAGTTTAGAAATATTCACTACCACAAACGTATTTCGTGAATGTCATATGTCAGAACAAACTGTTGCATTTCATTTTACATTTATTATAACAAAGTGTTCCATATGTGTAAACAGAGTTTCAAATAAAAGCTGATTTGGGGCAAAATTTCTGCAAAAAATGTTCAAGAATGAAATGGATGGGACATATTTTACAGTTAAACTATTTCTATTCATATCGTTCTATAAAGAATTGAATTTATTGTGTATAATTGTACATATAAAACTAATCAGTGATAATAATAAAAGTTATACTTTGACTACATGTATAGATAATTTAGCTATACGTTTAAACACAATACGGTACGATTGTTGTAATAAAAGTAACAATTGAAAAGATTCCGGTTCGTCATAAAAGGGAAAGATATAAAAAAGGAAAAGGTTAAATCTAAAATTCGAAATTAAGAATATTGTGAATTTTTCCGAAATTTTTAAAGGAATAATACCAATTACAGTTGACCACAGAATAATGTGAGAGTGTGAGACGAGCAGTTATCGGGCCGTTCACGGAAACTAATTCCGTGCAAGCAATAATAACGAGTAAGGGGTTTAGATTACTGGCGGTCCAGTCATCTGTGAGTCGATTAATTGAAAAACCAGCTGCTGGTGGTAGACAGTTTAGGACAGAAAACAACATTAATTGTTTTCCGGCACGACGACCGGTCGGAAATTGAACAAGCGGTTGATCGATACACAATTTTATTGCATTGGGATACATTACTTTCATATTTCACGGTGTATCTTCGCTTGAAAACTGATGTTACGTGAACCCGCGTTCCAAAAGTCCTATAATATCGAATAAAAGAAGAGGCATGTAAAACTTCAACTAATCATCAAGAACACATCGAAATAACAGATTGATATCTCGTTTGATAGGTATTTTGCGTCTTACGTACCATTCTGTTATCTTTATCTCGCATTTAATCGCACGTGATCGGGATTAATGCATTATGTATCACGCCTTAAAATTCGGTAAGGAATCCTCTTCTTATCCCATGAGAAATCGAACTTAATCATTATCGAACATTATTGTCGATTAGTTATTTCCTGACTATTTGACGTACACGTTACGAAAAACATGACGTTAATTTTACTTATTTTTAATATTATCATACAATTAATCTGATTGAAGTGTTTACTGCTGGGAATGTACGGCATATTATAAAAAGTTTTTACATTAATTATGAAATATAGAAATTAAAAATCTTCAGGTGAACTTTGTATCAGAATTTCAATGTGGGAACGTCAAGTGTATTCCTGTTTGGGACACTCAACGCGAGGTTGTCTCAGGTGAAGGTATCCAAGTTTGGGACCCTGCCTGGCACAGGTGTTGCAGTCGTTCTAAAAGTGCCTAACAACAGGTCCTTAATAATTCAACTGACACAGAAATATTTATACTAGTAAATCATTCCATAAATAGTTCGTTGTTACTTTAAAAGTTGCGTCGTAATATTTACAAATACGTATCAATGAAAATTCCGAATACTGTATACACAATTGTACAACTATAAAAAATAACGTTAACAGTTATAAGTTTCATTTTAAAATTGCATTAAAAACTGCAACTTCGCAATAGCTTCTGTTTCCTATATATTTGTGTTACTTATTTGTTACATATTCTTACGTAGTTTTTCCTTTATTAAAATATAATAAAATTCTGATAGGAGCCATTAATTCGATATTTTTGCATACCATCTTTCTTCCTTCTTACTGGTCCTTTCAGTAATATTTTCTCTCCTAGCCTTATCCTCTTTTTGTACTGCAACGTCCACCTGTCAGTTCTAATACCTTACCAGTCCCTTCCTGTTTCCTTCATGACTATCTAATCAGGTGTGCGTCAGTCTAACCCCAATGTTTATTTTATACGTTTTCCCTGTAACTTTTCGTTTTTCCCTTGCTGTTACTACTCTTGCATTTTGTGAATGCAACCATCTAATTTTCTTTATTATTTATTCTTTGCCACCCTCGTCTTTTTACACCAAAAGAATGTCCTCAGAATTTTACTGCCCTTATTTTGTGTACTCCATTTTCTTCACGTTTTTCTTTTTTCTGCTCTTTGTTTTACCCTTTTCCTTCATAGAATATGTTACTTTTTATTTCTTCACTTTTGCTTCTAATTTAATTTTCATTAAACTATACTCAACCTTTTTAGTGCCCAATTTCCATAAAAATTTGCATTTGCCGAAAGGAAAATAACTTCGTTAACTTTGATAAAATTTTCTATGTTATTATACTACTTTATATTTCACATAATATAATTATGTTATGATTTTCATTAAATTGCTTCAATGAAAACGATTTTGTAACAAGTTAGAGAAGAAGCGAGAAAGTCAACGTTGCATTTTACTACTTTTGTCAGTCGTGTGTCTGCCAGTAACATTGATAAAGACATTCCACACGAAGTGGTTCTGGAGGTTTTTGTTCTTCGCGCGACTACAGGCCGACAAAAGACTTTGAAGCCGGAACCGGTATTTTTTTGAAACGGCATCAGGTGCATTCCTGTTTGGGGCGTCCCGTCGTAGGATATTGTTTCACTCAGTATTAGTGTTTCAAGTGTTTTCACTGTCATTCAGCACCCCTGTTCACCTGAAGAGGCTCACGTATTTATTGGCCACCTTTAATCCCCTCTTTTCAAACGCACCATTGACGACACGTACTGTCTTCAGTAACGTTTAACCTTGTCTCTTGCAAAACACAGAGACCAGTAATTAACACGTTCCCGGCTATGTTGTCGAGACGGTTACAACTCAATCAATTACATCGATTTAATTACGCTTCAGAAGAATAGAAACTATTGAGTACATTTAATAATCTATACGTACAGTAATATCATTTTGAATAACAAAGTGCTTCATTTAATTATATGAAAAGTAGGTATTTAGTTTTCAGAGAAATAATAGGGTTGTTTTTTATTTGAATAAAATCTCAGAGGTCGATAGAGTTAAAAAATATTGTTATTTATTTAATTGAATATCTTATTAGCGAAAATAATATAATTGCATCTTTTACATACAAATCAATTTATATTATCTTCATTTTTATACATTATTTACAATATCTAATAAAATTATATTATACATATATAATGATATTACATAGAAATAGTATGTACAGGTAATTTCTTATTTCTCGGTAGAATATTCTATGGTTACTGTTAGTAGATCTTGATGGAACACTTTCACTTCATTGTGTAATATTGTCGGAATAACAATATTGCTTTCCACCCAAAAGTTTTACGAGTTAGTGTTACAATTTAAATGTTCTAAACGGAACTTTAAAGTGTCAATTTAAGAGTTACTCTATAGCAAATACTTTTCAAATATTATCACTTCTTCTCATAAAAATGAGACCCACGAAATTGTTTTCAAACGGATACATATCATTCAAATCTACGTATCTAATCCAATTTCGAACTATTCGTGAACTAAATAAACATTAATGTATTTCAAGCTGTAATTACTCGTTCTTTCTTTTATAACACGTCACTGACGTTCATTCACGATTAATGCTCCAATTTAAATGGCACCCTGAGCGAACGGTGATCTCGAGTTTGTTTTTAAGAAATACGTTCCTTTGTCATTGAAACTTGTTTTTAGGCCTCCCATAATAGCTCTGGCATTCGATCTGCAGGCACCTTTGAGGAAATTGTTGTAGCTGTTGCAGTTCAGCCCCCAAAATTTCACTTTGGAGTTGATAGATTCCGCGAAGTACTCAAACGATCGTGGATGAGAACAAACGCCGCCTACGTCCACGACGCAACCAACCTGCGAGGTGCCACCATTTGGATAGAAGTCGATGTCCCCGATCGAGGTGTTGTAACCGAGTACACCCGCGTTCGTGTGAATCACCTCCACGTACAAAGCGTCCCCCTTGGAAACCCTAGCACCCCTGCCGGCGTGAACGAAATTGGGAAGAGCGGGGTCTAAAGCTGCGAAAAAATTGATTTTTGAATTCTAAGAAACTCTGTCATTCAGAAATCTTCTTTTGGGCAAGGGGTTATTTCACATGAGTAGCTGAATCGAAAGAAAAAAATACAATTTTATTGATCGAGGATTTGTTTCTTTTAGAGAAAATTGTGATTATACTGAACAGAACTTGGTTATAGTATCTGTTTGCTATTTATGTAAACGTATCTGTCAATTTTTTAGATCTTATTCTCTTATAAATGAAATTCTAAAGGAATCGGTTTTATTTTCTTGCTTCCAGTCAATTTCTTTATGTTAAACAGTCTGTTATCTAATTTTAGTTTTTATTTAATGTTAATGTAATTTCAACAAGCTATGACAAATATGTTCATTAAAATTACATCAATGTTAAGTAACGCATGCTGAGTTTGTTCATTTATATGCATCTTTTTTTCAGTATGTAGGCGGTTGTTTTTTCCTGTTTTGTATAAATGATAACAGGCAACAAAAAATGTGTCAAATATTTCTGTAAAACGTTCTTAATGGAGATGGTTATCAACAGTGATCAAATTTTTTTACGTGTAGATGATTATCAAAGCTGATCGATTTGTTTATCACGCGTATTATTAACATGAATCGTTCAGTGGTCAGCGATCATTCATAAAATAATCATGCAAGGATTTTATGAAAAAAAATAACGTAATCGTTATTTAAACGAGTATTAAGTATATATTTCAATCAAGTTTAATCTCTAGGGGAATTAATTTTACCACGCTTCCAAAAGCATTTTGTTAAATGTTACGCCACGTGATCCTAGCTACGGTCAAACGTGCAAAAGAAATAAGAATGAATTCTGCACTTATTTTCAAATTCATTTAGCAGAAATCGGATTTGTCATTAAAACTAGTAGTTTATTTAGGAAAAAAACAAATGAAGATCTCATATTACTGAATCATTACAGTAAACTTTTAATATAGCCTTGAAACAACTGTGGTCAATTCCAAGTTGTAATAGGTTACTCTATTAAGATCAAAGAGTGTTTCTCAAAGAAATCGAAATGCGCTAACACTAGAAGAACGTTAATATGTGCTCTTTATAAAAATTGTAACAATAGATTTTTGTTCGGTTACTTCATACATTAATTATAGTGATTAAATCTTTGACTTGAAAACGATTATATGATTAATTCAACATAAATCTATTCGACTTACCGACAACATAAGCTACTGTGCCTTTAGCATAGTGAGCTGATAAACCGGCTACATGACCACCAAGAGAATGGCCGACAATGGTTACTTTTGATAAATTCATTCCTTGCTTCTGAAGGAAATCGATCATGCGGGAAGTGTATTGCGCGACCATTACCACACGCCTGCTAGCCCAGAGATAGGGCCTAATTGATATCGTGCTCCAGTCGATCACAATGACATTACAATCTTCGCTTTTGATGTATGCTGTATGAGAGCAAAAAAAGTGACATAAAAATGGAGTTACCATTATTGACAAATTGGGAATGTTATTATTGTTTTTGAACATTATGTTTGATGTGATTGATGATTGACATCAATAGTGATAAATTATTGAGACCGATATTCCTGTAGGTTTTATAAATATGTTTATAAATACTGATTTTTATATAGATTTCTATAGCTGATAATAAAAGAAAATATTCTAATCGAATTATTGAAATATCGATATACGTCTTCACTGATACTTATACATTTAGAGATATACGAATTTCAGAACACTTATAAACAGAAAATAAAATGGAGCTGTATTTATTTGTTTTAGATTTATAGTGTAATTGCAAGTTCAAAAATATTTCTAGATTCTGTCGTTTTCTATACTGTTGATTTGATTCTTTGTTATGGTTCTCCTTTTCGTTTTTAATCATTTTAAAGATACAGTTAATTCTTGTTACATCGGAGACCTTGTGTAATTATGAAATACTTATTAAAAAATAACAGACAGCTTGTGCAGAATACGTACCATCACGGACCATCTTGATTGCTTTACTATCGTGAGAGTTTACCCATCCATGTGTAACAAATTTTGTCGGTTTCATTGAATTAAAGTGGCTTTTTTTTAATGCTTTGAGGTCATCGAGATATAATTTTTCCGGATTATTTGGAGTAGCTTTCGTATATAGATAGAAGAACACGCGATTATGCAAATCCTTCTTCGTTTCTTCTTCAGTTTCATCGTCATTGTCGGTTAAGTCAATTTTCACTAAATTGCCATTATCATCAATCACTGCACCATCCATAAGATCACTTATCTCGGACTCTTTGCTCTCGAGACTAAACCCATTATCGCTGTCTTTAGAGATCTTAAAACCTATCAGATATTAAATAATTTCATTTCGTAAATATATTATCTTGTATCTAGAGAATAAAAGGTTCTTCCTACTGCATACTAAAAGACCCAATGTTTTTGATAACTTGTCAACATTGTATTTTCGTAAATAAATGAATAAACAGTAGTAAAAATAATCGAAGAAAGATATATAAATTATAAAATATGCACATTTTATTTTATTATCAATTATTTTTTATATTGAGACTTTCTTTGTAAACTCTTTTTCAATGTGAAAATCTAAGATAGATTAAATCATGTTTCGAGTGCATATGAACAACGATTATAACAAGAAATATTAATTGGGAATAATTATATTGAATGGTTTAAACAATAATTCGAAATACACCGTAAAAGTTTATATTGACATATTTTTTTCGAATAAATATCACAAGATCTGGTGTGTTTACCGTTGACACTGCAAACGAGCAGGAAATTAATAAGAGCGTATGGCTTCATGTTCAAATCGACTGTACCTGCTGTATTGATTTGTCTTCCCTTTATAAAGGCATCGATTGAGAAGATTAGTTAAACCGATAAGATAAAATTTATCACGTTACTTTGCACGTTGCAGGAGGTCAGAATGTAAACACAGAAAGGATGATGGATGAATTATGGTCCAGTCAATTAATTTGTTATTTATAAACAACTGTTATATATAATTCATTCAATTTTCGTGTGTGCAGATCATTTTTTATGAAATTGATATATTAATAACATTTTATGTTAGAAGAAACAATATTTATTTCGTTTCTACAATTACTTTCACTCGATATTAAATAACATAAAAATTAATAATATTATGAAATAAATAATAAATATGCTTCTTAACGAACGGAATGAGTCGATCCATATAATACTGGAAAAGTACAAAACTTAATGAAAAGATTAAAAGCATCACACATAGAAGTAGTAACAGCAATTTCATATCTTTCTTCATAAGTAGAAAAACAAAGTATTT